TGCTTGGAAGGAAGAGGGGACGGGTGAGAGAGGAATGGTTCTGAGGATGAGGGGACCGGGCATGGGGAATGGTGGGGAGAGCTAGGAGACGGGGGAAGGTTACTGTGGCTCAGCAACACATGTGCGTTGCTGAGCCACAGCAATGGGTGGCCGGGTACAGCTAGTATTTACATAAGTCTGAACTACAATACTAATACTGACCTTAACCACTAACCATATCAATTTCTAAGGTAGTCTTGAAAAGATTGCTATGTATGGTCCCACACAGGAAGAGATTCAGCTAGCCTCAAAGAGTGTCCGTCAGTCAGGAAGAGATTCAGGTATTCTTGAAAATATCTATGGAAAACACCACCATGGAAGCCGCTAACACTTTAGGAGGAGCCGGTCGGCCGAGCGGACAGCACACTGGACTTGTGATCCTGTGGTCCGGGGTTCGATCCCGGGCGCCGGCGAGAAACAATGGGCAGAGTTTCTTTCACCTAGCAGAAAAATAGGTACCTGGGTGTTAACCAGCTGTCACGGGCTGCTTCCTGGGGGTGGAGGCCTGGTCGAGGACCGGGCCGCGGGGACACTAAAGCCCCAAAATCATCTCAAGATAACCTCAAGATAACTGTTCATCTATGCTACTTGTATCAAATGCATCATCACTGAACGCAGAAAGCGAATTCATCTATGAATCATCTAAATAAATTGGAGATAGCATAAGATGGCAAAGGTAATGCTCAGAGCTACAACTGGATACGCTCGCTGTATCGTCCTCATAGGTGCTGTATCACTTGCATCTGACCTTTGTGTTAGGTCCTTATTGTGCCTAGCTTCACCAATATTATGACCCTTATGTTCATCAAACAATAAGGTTTGAATTTCATCGACAGAGTGTTGTCTTTCAACACCGTGTCGGACAGGTGTTTGGGAGTCAGAGGCGTGTGCGCCACCCATGGTTGCTCATTCAGTACTAACCCAGCCAGCAGCCCTAGGGCATTCTGGGAATTTTTTCCAAGATGGCTGCCTCTCACTGGAGGTCCTAAGAGGCCATTTCATACACAACCAACCTCGCACACATTTAGAATGGGTATGGAAAAATCAAAGAGTTTTCTCGGTTGGCGCAGTTTCCCGCCGACCGAGAATACTCGGCTGATGCAGTTAAGTGGTTAAATACTTCCAGGAGGGATGTAACGGAACACGTCCTGCATACAAGAAACAAATATCTATCTAATATTCCAAGAGTAAGATTTAACCAAAGCAGAAATGCCATGCAAATTAAAGGTCTAAATTATGGAATGATTAAAACTGTACTTCTCTCAACCAGTTTAGGAGAGAAATTAAGAAATACCTAATTAACATTTTGTAACCAATTCCACTACCATTTCCTCAACCTACATGTCAACCAGTGTTTTGCTGTTGTTGTAAATATTAATTATTATACAGTGGTACCTCGGAATACGAGTGTCCCTGAATACAAGTTTTTCGGAATACGAGCAGGATTTGCTCGGAAAATGTGCCTCGGAAGGCAAGGGTTACCTCAGAACACGAGTTTGTTGATACGCGTACAGGCTGAACTAGTGCGTGGTGGTACGGCGATCGTCGCCCCTCCGCCCCTCAGTTTACCAGTGCCTCGCGCCAATGACTATCCCACGTCAATTCTAAACCCGGATTTTCAGTGTTTTGTTGGATTTTTGGTCATTTGACCATAAAAGTTGGTATTATATATCTCACCATGGGTCCCAAGAAAGCCAGTGGTAAGGATCAAGGCAAGAAAGCCCATGTGAGGATGACAATAGAGGAGAAACAAGAGATCATTCGGAAGCATGAAAATGGTACACGGGTTGTTGAACTGTGGGAAGAGATGCAAACTTTTATTGAAAAGACTCACCCAGAGAAAGCTGTAGTAGGCCGTTGCCTTAATCTTTTCAATGACAATGTGATGCCTTACTACAGAGACAGCTTGTGAAGAAGGGAAAAACAAGTTTCTATGGACAGATTTGTTGTGAGAATATCGAGCAGTGAGCCACAACCAGGACCTAGTGGTATGCAGGCAAAACGTGCCAGGGAGTGCACCCCAGAAAGGTCCCCACTGCCTGATATTATAATGGAAGGGGACTCCCCTTCCAAACACCTCTCCTCCTCCCCCCTCCTCACCATCTTCCATACACCTACAGCATTCAACAACAAGGGTAAGTAATAACTTGAACATAGTTTTGTAGGTTTATTTAGATGAATTAGGTATAAAATTTAGTTTAAAGTGAAGCTTTTGGGGTAGTCAGGAACGGATTAATTCATTTCCCATTATTTCTTATGGGGAAATTAGCTTCGGAATACGAGTTTTCGGAATATGAGCTGTCTCCAGGAATGGATTAAACTCTTAAACCGAGGTACCTCTATTTGTACTGTTCATAAAAACTGCAATTTTTAAATGTCATTTAAAAACACTAAATCATTTGCCAAAGGTCTTTAACAATTCAAATATATATTAACTTACGTCTCATTTAGTGTTTAACATTACCACATTTATTGATTGAATTTATTTATATGCAAAAGGATACATTGGATTGTTAAAATACATATATACTGTGCTGATTTAATGGTACAGTACATTCTTGCAAGGCTACTAATTCTCTGTACCAGTACTTCAATGTTTTATGTAGTTCTTCACTGTATCATGTATCAAGTGTATTTATCAGGTATTTTTATATCAATCAATAATGGGAAAATCAGGAACAGCTCTAGACCACTACATCTGGTGTAGTGGGCTGGAGCATGTCTGAGAATACCCAGCGCATACTTTCAGATCCTCACAGGATCTACTGATTTTCTCATCATGTTAATGTCAAATATTATTGAGAAAATCAACTGGAACTCTAAGATGACTCGATCTCACAACCGAGAAAATCTCAGCTGCTGACGCTAACACCACCACCCTCGCTTAGTAAAAACTCATTCAACCAGATTTCTACTGAAATCACAGGTAGTCTGGAGGCCCCTTCTGAAGTCAGTCCAAGTTTTACACATGACCCCCTAAACACCCGGGTGTAGACGTAGTTCACCCACTGTATGTTTTAACATCAGATACACAGAGAATTTACACTGTGATATATATATCAATGAGAAAATCAAGACTTCCTGTGATTTCGGTAGAAATCCAGTTGTATAACTTTTAACAAGGCGGTCCAGTAGTTAGTGTCAGCGGCTGGGTTCTCTCAGTTGTGGGTTTGAGTCTCCTAAGAGGTCCACTTGATTTTCTCATTTATATATATCACATTAGTATTAATTCTGCGTATTATTATTACAGTATTATTATTATTATTATTATTATTATTTATTATCATTATTATTATTATATACCCAACAATTCGTTCCATCAACCTATAATGCTATTAAAACACCACAATTTACTCACCTTTTCTGAATCTAAATTGATCCACTTTTTATCAATAGATATTTATTTATCCAATTACATACAAGAATGTACATTGGGTTGAGAAAGTATATATTTTGGCGATTGATTGTTAAGCTCTTAAAAAGCCACTACCACACAGCATTTTAGGCAGGTCTTTAAGCTAACCAAAAACGAAATAATTGGTACATTGTAATAGAAGTTGAATTCAACGTAATAAATACATTATAAAGTGATAGAACAGATTATACTGATGAAGTTCATTGTCTTTATTACTAAACTGGATGAGTGGGAAGTGCAAAATACAATGAGTTAGTAGCACAATGTGGGAAACTATGAAAATGAAATTAGGTACTTTTTGGTTCTGCTTTTGAATAAAAGTAAAGGTTGGACAATTCTATAATTTATTAGGAAATGCGTTCCATATATTAGGTCCTTATATTTGAATAGTGTGTCTCTAGGAATATCAAAGGTACACTTATTTCTGGTGTGATGCTCATGGGTTCTATTACATCTATCAGGGAAGTTTCAAATCAGGATTAGAATATAGGAATACGATTTTGTAAGTAAATAGCACAAAGAGAATATATGGAGTAAGTGTATGTTAACTTGTTGTGCAAGTGTATTCTGCCCGAAACACTTTGCGTAATAGTGGCTTCAGGCATTGTATGTACTAGCTCTATCTATAAATCCATCAATCTTTGTAAAATCTCCTGTATGTATGTACCTTACCTAAATAAACATTTATTTATTTATTTATTATTATTTATTGTTAAGGGACTTAAACAGAGGGTCTGTGTGTTGTCAGAAGACAACAAATTATGATTATCCTCAAACAACTGTCCTCAAATTACTATGCTGCAATATACTTGTTGATAATCCTCAAATTTTACTATAATGCACCTACTAATCTTCTTCAAATTTTCTTACAATGTACCAGTTAACATTTTTCAATTTTGCAAGAAACTACCTACTTAAAATTATATGTTAGATTAAGGACCTGCCCAAAACGTTATGCGTGTTGGTGGCTTTACAAGAATGTAAAAACACCAATGCTATGTACTTTCGTAAACCTAATGTACCTTCTTGTATACAAATAAATAAATAAATAAGACAGCGTTATAGTTCCGATATAATTATATGAAAATAGAGTTAGTATCGTTATGATAGCAGATATTTGCAGTTATGATGGGGCTCAAGGTAATTTGCAGTAGTTGAACCCCATGCACAGATACTGTGTGTAAGACAGGGATAGATTAGTGTGTAGTATAATGAGAGGATAGCAGAGTGGGGAACATAATATCTGATTTTAGAGAGTATACCGACTGTTGTTAAGCCTTTTGGTTGTGTTGTATGTGGTTGCTGAAGTCTCTTGTCTATGTATAGGCCAAGAAACTTCCCCCCATTTTTACTATTAATACTGACACTATTTGATGGTGTATTTGTTTTAACAATTTGCTTTTAAATTAGATGTAGTAGATTTTTTCTGTGTTAATTTGTTGGTTGACATTCACGAGTGGACTTTTAAATCATTATTTACAATATCATTTAGAGTGAATGTTCTATATTGGATTTATATATTTACCACTCTGTTAATGTAACTAACCTTTCTACTGTCATGCAAAGGATGGGTATGAGAGGCCATCCCCTAGGGGGTAGAAATAGCCTAAGCTACTCTATCCCTTTGAGATGTATTTCTTTCTTATCTTAATAAATATACTTGAACTTGAGAGTCCATCAACTAAATAAACCAAACTGATTGGAAAGTGCTGCACATTTTCTGTTATGATCCATTTTTCCAAAGATGCGAGAGACAGTGAGATTTTGACACGATTGTATACTGTAATTCCTCGTCTTGCACAAAGTCAACTGTCATGCTAATTCTGGTGTCGACCACCTTACCCGACCGTCCAGACCTGCCTCGTGTAGATAACTTTAGATAACAAGGCAGGAGTGAGCTGCAAGTGTAGCGACTCTTCACAAAAACATTAAATCCATCATCCGCAAAGTATAGGTGAAAGCTTCATTCACAATATTAAAACCTTATTTGGTATCCGTATTGCTCCAGTTCATCTACTTCAAGTCCAAGTTATCAAGCACTTTGTGTCACACCGAAGCCATTAACAATTGCAGCATAACAACAAAAACAAAGAAATCCAAAAATGTCCTCCGACCCTCAAATTTCGTCGAGACGTTAAAGCCAATATTTATTTGCTTATTTAGACGGCACCCCGGCCAAAGTGTACGGCCATTTTCAGACAAATACAAGGAACGGTTGTTACATATCACACACATGCCTCAAGAACCCGACTAAGGGCTGGTACCCTGACTTACATACCAAAATACCACATGAGGAACAGACGACCCTGAGATTTCTCTGTCGTGACGTCACAGCCCTCTGTTGGTAAACAAGCTAAGCTGTGATCACAAACTACCAATTTTAACACTGATTTACCAGCCCTTGGGACAATATATATTCAATTGTAAATAATTGTCTAGTACTTAATTTAATTATATTTTGATTTTAGTGGGCGATTTCTTTCAGTATATCAATGTTGGATGACAAGTTGTTACCGCTCATGTTCGATTTACGTTTTCGTTTGTGAATTAAATTTGTTTAATTTTGTTTACTTTTACTGTATTTATTTATTAACAAGCTAAGGTACACACAGCAAGGTGGTGCTACTCTATTTTATATGAAGGATTACACATCAAAAGCTAGCTATTTTATCTAATATCCACATCTTATAGGATGGTTAGTCACTTGCATTCAAAGAACGAATTGTTATATTTATTTATATATATAAATACAAGAAGGTACAGTAGGTTTATGAGAATATATATATCATTGATGTTTTTACATTCTTGTAAAGCCACTAACAAGCATAGCGTTTCGGGCAGGTCCTTAATCTAACAGTCAACTTAGTATTAAGTATTTAGTATTTAGTATTAGTATTAGTATTTAGTATTTAGTATTTAGTATTCAACTTAGTATTAACAGTCAAATTAGTATTAAGCTTTAGTCATTTAAGTTTATCATGCCCGAAACGCTTTGCGTAATACTGGCTTTAGGCATTGTATGTACTAGCTCTACCTATAAGTCAACCAATCCTTGTAAAAATTTATTGTATGTATGTACCTTACCTAAATAAAATTGTATTGTATTGTATTGTTGTGTATTGTAACTTTAAGTACGTAATTTCTAGCAATATTGAAAATTGATGGTTCTTGGTTCTTGGTCTCTATTTCAGCGATGTTCTCCTACTCTTCGTGGTCCATGATAATCACATGGGCCCTATGGACAAAGATTGTTCTCTTGGATTGGTACTCCGCCTGAGTGGGGGCGGGGAGACTGATATCCCCAGATTTATAAGTTTTACCAGTGAGGCAGATGAGAACAGTTCATTAAGGTTACCATTGGGAACCACCATGATTTTTTGTATTATTAACAAGCTTAGGTATACACAGCAATATGCTGCTACCCTATTCTGTATGAAAGATTACACAGTGTAGATCAAACACTAGCTATAAGTTCGTCTAATTTCCCCATCTCACAGGATGATTAGTTATACGTCGAATCAGGGGTGGGAATAGCAGCCTCAGTACAAAAACAAATCAACTTTGACTAAAAATCAGGTGAGAACATAAAGTGTAAGACTGATCTATTAGCCCCACTAGTAAAATCTGGGTGCAGCACAAAAATATCTTCCAATATTCCTGAGTGTATGAAGAAATTACAGAGCTCAAAGTACCTCATACCATTAGGTCTAGAGAAGTCACTTGTAACAGGGTAATCACAGATATAGTGTTGGAGAGTATGTCCCAGCTCTTGTTCACATAGTTTACAATTGGAATGTTCACCATTGATAGTCATTACCTGCAGTCACCTGCCATAAATATCGACATCCCAGCCTAATTCTGGCAATTACAATGTCACACTGTGAATAATTTAATAATAATTTAATGTGAATAAATGCCATGTTATGGAATATGGAATAGGAGAACATAGACCCCGCACAACCTATAAATTATGTGATAAATCTTTAAAGAATTCTGATAAAGAAAGAGATCTTCAGATCTCTTCAACTTAACAACTCAGAACTCAGAAAGATATCTTCAAGAGATCTATTCAGAGAGGTGGTGGTACTGCTCTTTACTACCACCGAGAACTGACATGCTTAAAAGTAATTAGTACTAGAGACTACTGTGGGGAGTATATCTTCACCAGCTTCAGAGTCAAGGGTGCTGAGTCTGTCCTGACTATTGGAGCAGTCTATAGAATTCCTAACACTGATGTGTCCGAATTCAACTCTAACCTTAGAAATCTAATACTAGATAACAGACTGAATAAAAACCATCTAATTATCGCAGGGGACTTTAATATTGACCTCTGCGAGCCTGAACACCCTACTGCTGTTAGCTTCTTCAACTGTATGAATTCCTGCTTCCTCATACCTTTAATCACTAGACCAACTAGAATCACTGATAGTACTGCCACGGCTCTTGATCACATCTGGACTAACATAACCTCTCCACTTATAAATAAATAAATAAATAAATGTTTATTCAGGTAAGGTACATACATACAAGAGATTTTACAAAAATGGATAGATTTATAGATAGAGCTAGTACATACAATGCCTAAAGCCACTATTACGCAAAGCGTTTCGGGCAGGAAAAACATTAATGACTAAAACTTAATACTAATTGAGTATAAAGAATAAAATGTGTTGAGAACAAATGAAAATAAAAAAAGGGGGGAACATGGCTGAAAAAGCAGCACAAATACAATTAGGTCGACAAACAGCGTTGTTTAAAAAAACAGACTTGGGTTGACAATATAGGGGTAAGGTAGGTTACAGGGAATTTATTAGGTAGTGCTTCATTTTTATCTTAAACTGGTTGAGAGAGGTACTGTCTTTAACATGGTTGGGAAGGTCATTCCACATTCTGGGTCCCTTGATTTGTAGAGCATTTCTTGTTTGATTAAGTCGTACTCTAGGAATATCAAAACTGTATTTATTTCTGGTGTGGTGCTCATGGGTTCTGTTACAACCTTCTATGAAGCTTTTGAGGTCAGGATTGGCATTACAGTTCGGCGTTTTATATATGTATAATACACATGAGAGGATGTGCAGAGAGGATGAGCCATTATCAGAGAGAGAGAGAAATGAGGAGGAAAGGTGCCCAACCACTTGGACGGTCGGGGGACTGAACGCCGACCTGCATGCAGCGAGACCGTCGCTCTACCATCCAGTCCCAAGTGGTTGGAGACCTCCAGGTATAAGACAGAAAGAGTCATTACGAGCCCGAAGGCTAAAAGTCACCTGCTGCTTACCTTGAACTTGATTTGATTCAGAACTTGATTTGTTTAATATGAGTTATAGAGAGGGAAAGTTACCAAGAAAATGGAAAGAGGCTGTCATCATTCCTATCCCTAAGTCAAACGGAGGCTACAGACCTGTCTCCTTAATATCCTGCAGGACTAGGTTTCATACCGGCTAAATAAATAAGAATGTCATACGTTACTCCATCTTTCCCTGGAGCAGTAGAGCTGCCACTTTTTATAGCATCCAGTAGCTCATCGTGAGTTATCTCAGTGCATGTTACAGATCTTGTATTTAAGGCACATAAAGTTACTCCATTTCTAATATTTTCCCATGACTCAATGGTGATTCTCGTGTCTGCAGGTAAGGACTCCATACCAGCAGCACTAGCCCATTTATCTACTAACTCATTAGCAACCTTCCCTGGATCTGAGTGAGCAATGAATTTGGTCTTACAACCCCTGATTTTGTTTACTGCTCTCCATATGTCTTTAAGGTTCTTAGTATTACCAATGGACTGAGCAAAGTCTTGCCAGTATCTGTCCCGCGCCTCCTTCCTCACCTGACTGCATTCCCTAGCCACTTCCAACATTGTATTTTTCTCTTCATCCCTCATTCCATTTTTAACCATTCTTTATGTGCACTCAGTAGCATTTTCTCCCACCCCTTGACTTGCTGATCATTTATTTATTTATTTATTTATTTATGCATATACAAGAATGTACATAAGGAATGTGAGGATACAATTATGGTAATTACAGTCTTGTAAAGCCACTAGCACGCGCAGCGTTTCGGGCAGGTCCTTAATCTAAGAAAATTTTAAGGAGGTAAATACTTGCAAAATTTATAGACAAAAAAATGATAACAGATTACATGGAATGAAAAAAAAAAAAAAGATGAGAGAAAATTATAGGTACAGTATATTAAAGCACATAGGTTGCTATGATTGATTGCAATGACAGCTTAAAATGGTAGTTGACAACAAATTGGTAGGCACAATACAGCAGAAACAATATAAGATTGATTGCAATGACAGCTTGAATGGTAGTTGACAAAAATTGGTAGTCACAATACAGCATATGGCTAGCACATAAAAGAAGACAGCAATGAACACAATGATAAGGTTGTTTGATATTACATAAAAATTAGGAGATTGGGTACCACTAGGTACAGAGCAAATTAAAGCTCAGTGTAGGAAACTAAATAGATGAAGTTAGGTACTTTTTGGTTTTGCTTTTAAATAAGGCAAAAGTTTTACAGTTTTTCAATTCACTAGGGAGTGAGTTCCATAGACTAGGTCCCTTAATTTGCATAGAGTGTTTACACAGATTAAGTTTGACCCTGGGGATATCAAAGAGATATTTATTTCTGGTGTGGTGATAATGGGTCCTATTACATCTGTCCAGGGAGAGTTTCAGAGCATGGTTTGCATTTAAGAACAGGGTTTTGTAAATGTAGTTGACACAAGAGAATGTGTGGAGAGAGTTAATATTTAGCAAGTTTAGAGATTTAAACAAGGGAGCTGAGTGTTGTCTGAAAGCAGAGTTAGTTATTATTCTGATAGCAGATTTTTGCTGTGTGATGATGGGCTTAAGGTGGTTTGCAGTGGTAGACCCCCATGCACAGATACCATAATTAAGATAGGGGTAGATTAGTGCATAATATAGTGAGAGGAGAGCAGAGTTAGGAACATAATATCTGATTTTGGAGAGTATACCAACTGTCTTAGAGACTTTCTTAGTTATGTGTTGAATGTGGGTGCTGAAGTTGAGTCTCTTGTCTAGGAATAGGCCAAGAAACTTGCCATCATTTTTATTACTGATGTTAATGTTGTCTATCTGTAGCTGAATTGCATTTGATGATTTGTTTCCAAATAAGATGTAGTAAGTCTTTTCGATGTTTATTGTTAGTTTGTTCGTTGACATCCATAAGTGGACTTTTTTTAATTCATTATTCACAACATTATT